TGCAAGCTCCATGTTAGACTACTGTAAACTGTATTTTCCTGGTGTACGACTCACAAATAGGCCAGTTAATTGCATCTCTGAAGAATACAAACTTCTGAGTTGGGTCTGGCCTTACAGCCTGTACCTTGTGTCTCGTGCAGTGAGCTTGAATAGGAGACCTGAACTGGCTAAGTTGTTTGGTTTACACTACTTGGTAGCATTATTGTAGAGAATCCTCTTGGTTATTGAGAGGAGAATAAAACCTACTCATGTATGTGTTTTCTGGAGCATCCAAGGTTTTTTGTGAAAATTGCATATCTCGGGAGCAAACAGAGTAGCTTAGTGGCCCTTCACTGTGGCTGCTGCTTGGGGAGAATGGGGACCATTCTGTGAGACCTGGCTTCTGCTGTTAGTTCAAACGCTAGCTGTAAAGGAAGATTCCTGTAAAAGAAAGAAAAGAAAGCTCACTGAGTTTAAAGCCATTTAAATAATGGCAACTTCACATTTATCTTTTTAACTGAGGAAATCCAATATAATATTTTATTATAATATAATATTTTCTTCCTGTAAAAGAAGCCATTCAGACTGTAGAAGCTCTTGCATTGCATGAGAACCCTGCAAAGATTCCTCCTGTTGATATTAGCAGAGGGTGGAGATAAGTCCTTGAAGACCCACCAGTGTAACACAATACTTACATTTCAGAGATGCTTGAAAAAGCATTGAACTAATTTGTCAAGTTATAGAAGTTTTTAGAATCTTTTCAGAGTATTATTGCATCCTGTTCCTGTTTGTTTGGGTTTTTTTTAGGTTGGTCTATAGGGCCTTTGGTTTTACTTAAGATCTTCAGAAATTCTAACGTATCTAACACACCTTCCCTACCTTTTTCCCAGATAAAGTTATATAGATCTTTTCATATCCTCAGCTCTGGATAAACATTCCTTCCCTTCTAGATCAGGCATGTAATCTGTGAAACTTGTTTTTATGGCTATAGATGATCTTATTAATGATTGCATGAGTGGATGTGAAGTGGTATGCATGGGTGAGTTTAAATCTTCTTGTTTTGTTAAGATACTCTTGGTCTCTCTTCCCCTTTCACAGACATTTCTACAACTTCTGATTTACTGGGCAGCTGTAATAGGACTGTACTTTGAGCTGTTTATAATCAGAATTTGTTCTATCCTTTCATCACTGTGCTACTGTCTGAAACTGTTGCTCTGTACCTGGCTGTGGCATAGTGCAGGTGAATTTATCTTAAATCGGGTAGTTCAAGTCCAAAAGTTATCTGATTGCAGTAGTACAGAGTTGCATGCTGAGTGCAAAAACAGCCTGAAGGAGGGTTAACCCAGAGAGTTACATCTATCCTGCTACCAGCACCCGGGTTAGCCCAGCTGTATCTATTGCAGATCCATGTACAATGTACCTGTAGTGGAGATGTACTTTCTGACTCGGAACATACAGTGCGTTCCTTTCTTTATTTCAATAGCACAGTGTGATTGATTTTGATCCAGAGCATCCCTGACACTGCTTTGATGTGGTTGAATGAACAGATTTCAAATAGTATTAGCATATTTTCTAACAGTGGTCTTGATATACTCAGAAATGGTCCCATATGAAAGTTAATATTTCTGTAATTTCTTTTGATAATTGTTTCCTTGTATCTGGCCACTGTACTGTTTGTTTCTACAAGAGACAACTTTTTAGTAGCTGCTGTGTTTGTCTGTTGAGGGTGTAATTAGGATAATGTGTTCCCATAATGACATGGTTAAGAAGAACTAGTTCTCTTTTGTAAGTGATTTTGGATAGGTCACAACTGTTTGGTTTGGCAAGGACTTCTCTTGAATCATTTATATGTTAATGACTGCAGAAGAAAACACCTACAGCTGTACTGAATTTCCATTCTCTGTAAACTGAGTGCCCCTTCATGATCTCCTGAACCATTCATTTCCTTTCTTGCTTGTGTTACAATAGCTGCTGTGTATGTGCATGAGTGAGGCAGAAGCAGCCATGGGAGCAGATAACCCACTACACGCACTTGCCCAGTGTGTTCTCACCTTCACAGAGCTGCACACATATGTGTAATAAACAATATAAAGGCAACTCCACCCCCCTTCCTCACACACCCGTGTAGACAGCAAATAAATTGGCTTGTGTTTACAAAGGAAGAAAACTGCCGGGACTCTGGTTGCAATTTGCAACTTATTGTAGCTAAATTAATTGCTGAACAATAGTGGGGAACTTCTAAATTGTTGAATGGAAGCGTTGTCAGGCTCATGACTTGAGCAATTTACATGTCCTCATGGCACAAATTCTGACAGATTTGTTCCACTGCAGCCACCTTTGGGTAAAAGCAAGATCTTCCATGTTTCTGTGTTGCTAGTGTGAATGTAGAATTAGCACTTAGGTGTCTTCTCTTGGATTCTCTCAACCTCCCTACATAAATTTAGCCTTCCTAGTTCAGGAATTAACTGCTCTCTCGTTTTGGTTTTCTCAGGTTCTCGAAGCCGGCACCAATGTTCTTGGATGATTCCTTCAGGAAATGGGCACGTATCAGGGACTTTGTACCACCCTTTGGAATTAAAGGACAAGGTATGAGAAAACTGTGCAGCTATTGGAAAAGAAGGTGGTTCTGCAGATACTTGCCCCATCTTGGTTTTCCATTTTGAAAGCTCTGTTGGTCCCTTTTTTTTTTCCCTGTTCAAGAGAAATATTCAATATGTAGCTCTCAGAAACCCAGAATGGTTTTCACAGATGGAACATGGACCTCAGAAGCTGGTCTTGGGGAGGATGGTTAAGTACATGGGAGAGTCAGTGCAGCAGTGGCAATCTAGACCTGCCACCACATTCTGGAAGAAGCATTTTGACACTGACTGCCATAGCATCTTGTAGTTTCTTTGCTGACAGCAGCAGAGAGTCCAATCTGATTTTCAAGTACTTTTAAATTATGAATTCTCTGAATAACAAGAAAGACTCCTCTTTCAGAGTTCTGGAGCCTTGGGGTTGACCAGTGATACAGATCTTCATTTTCTTCTTGTAGTATTTGTCATATAATTATTTTTCAGTTTTTCAACTTGTTGACCTGTGCAACAAATAGAAAAAAAATCTGTTCAGATGCTTTGGGGATGGATTGTGATATGTCCTGACCTCCAGCTGGAGTGTGGCAGCAGGGGCTGTGTCTCAGGTCTGCTTTAGGAGAGCAGGAGTTGTGCTGGTGACGATGACATGGAAGCCAGTAGTCCACCCAGCAGATAATATATTTTTGAGGTGACACAAGCTCCTTGCTATCCCTCATGTGCCACCAAAGTCCTCTTTGGGTGAGCGGTAGTGGAGCAGAAGACTTATGCTCACCGCAGTGATTTGCTGAAGACTTCCTGAAATCTGATTGTATTTATCAAGAAGTGTTTGTGGCGTGTCATGAACTTCTAAGATCTTTTTTTTTTTTTTTCCCCCACTGGCCAACTCAAGATTATGGATAGCCTCTGTAGGAATTGAAATACCTTTTGGAGAAAGGACTGCAGCCAGAGTAGACTTGGGTCTGTCTCTCTCCCTGGAAGGAGGTGTGGTAGCTGTCAGAACAATCTCTGATCAAATCAAAGGCTCTACTGTCAAATTTCTCTTGGCTTGCATCAGTTTCCTTTGTTTTATATGTGCCCATTCCTTGTCCAGTGATCTTTTGTAGCTCAATAGGCAACTAATTACTGTCCTCTAAATCAGTTGCAGTAAAGAAATAACAGTGGCAGCACAAGCAGAAGGCTCCTTGTCCACTTCTAACAGGCACACAAGGCGTGCAAAGCCGGGACAAGCTGCCTGACCAACGTGGAGGTGGGATTTGTAGATTACACGTGGTGTTGCCTAGACCTAGTAAAAACCATTCCATTAAACTGAATCCAAATGGAGAAAATCACCAAAAGAGATGACGGAATGGCTCTGGCAGCCTTCTTCCTGGTTTTTTTGCCAGCTCGTATCACCACTGCAATGTTATGTAAATCTGGTGTTTTATATTGGATTTCCTCAGTTAAAAAGAGAAATGAGAAATTGCCGTTATTTAAATGGCTGTGAGCTGAAGCCATGGGACGGAAACCGTTGAATGGGTTATTTTTTTTAATGCCCTCCTGGGACTGAATTTTGTGCCAAGTTTCAGTCTGGAGCAAATTCTGTGTGTGGGAGTGTTGAATTATAAATCTCTGTAGCCCAGGTTTTCTAATGGCCGTGCTGACAGGCTGCGAGTCCGAGCGATGCGAATGGCGCCCTTTCATGTTATGCATCACTTGGAATTCTTGCATCAGTCTTTTCTGGCTGTCTCACGGGATGCATTCTGGCTCAGCTGAGTGATTGGATGATGGGATCAGCACCTTATTAGGGCTTTCAGTCAGGACAATCTAACGGTATCCGAACAACTCACCGAGGCAAGCAGTGCGGAGCTCAGTTACGTGCTCGTGTGAGATGAAGACTATCAGAGCTGGGATGTCCATGGGAAAATGAGCAGTGGTGTGGCTGAGAAAGCGTAGAGAGACATGCCTGTGTTGAAGCGGGACAGGAGTTTTGCTTTGTGCAGTAGGAAGCCCTGTGACACTATAAGCTGGGATTTCTGACATGCATCACACTGGGAAAAGTGGTTGGTCCTCACAGACACTGACTCTAGCTGGGTTGGTAATGGGAATATTTTGCTGAGAACTTTGGTGAATATCATGGGGAGTTTTCAAGTCATTGTGGTCTAGTCCAAGTACAAAATGGCTTTGTTTTTGTTTGAAATAGAGCTACAGGATGAATTCGCTTTCAGTAATGCTGCATGTCCTAAGAAACTTCTAGAAACTAATCTGTGGTAGCTTGAAAGTAGGAAAGTTATGAAATCAAGAGATACTTATCAGCTTGGAGGCTAATCCGCCTTTTCTGCTTTCTCTTGTTAAAGTTTCTTTCTATTCTTCAGACTTTTAGCTGAGTTTTTCTGTGCTTTGTCTCTGAGAAAAACTAAAAGAAGTCCTTTTTCATCCATCACTTGGTGTTTACTGGTCCAAGAAGGAACAATTCCAAGACTGCAAGAACAAGTCTTGCAATCTTTAGGAGAAAGCAGCTTTTGAGGAACATTGTCCACTGAGCTGCACTAATTTGGAGTAACATTTCTGTACAAATTACATGTACAAGAGTAGAAATAGCTCAGAAATTTTCAGGGCAGGACACTGCTCTTTAAAGGTGATCATATCAAGGAGAAGACAGTATGCTCATCATTTTGGTGCGGTTTGTCAGGGATCTTAATTTTCTTCAAAATGAATCTGATTGTGAACACAGTTCTTCCATCTCCAGATGCTCTAAAGTACTCAGTATAACACAGGAAGCTTGACAGGGTTTCTTCGTGAGAGAATGCTTGCTCTTTTTCACCATTGGTCATTTTCTTATTTGGCCATTAACCCATGCAGGGAGGT